GTCTCTCTTTTAGAAAGAGTTGTCTTTGTTGTATTTTCAAAAATATATGTGGTTTTGGGATGAGATTTCTGCTGCTCTACTCATGCCGCCATCTTGGCTCTGCCCCAGCGGGTATGATTTTATTCAGTTCTCTGTAATCCACAGTCATACGCCAGGAGCCATCTGGCTTTTTTACTGGCCACAGTGGGGATTTGAAAGGAGTATGGGTGAGCTTTATAATACCCACCTTTTCCAGCTCCTGGAGAGTTTCTCCAATCTCTTTATGCCCTCCAGGCAGTTTGTACTGTTTGGTATTAGTCACCCAACGAGGCACAGGCAAAGCTATGGGCGGGTGCCTAGCATGTCCCCTCAGAATTGCCTTCACCACACATACTCTCAGTCTGAACTCAACTGCAGTGGTCTTAGCCATAGACCCTGCAGGATATCAGTCCCCAAAATATACTCAGGGATAGGAGATATATACACAGTGTACTCTTTTGGGTGTAGATGCCCTATTCCTTAAGGGATTTGGGCTTGTTTCACTCTGATAGCCTTATCCCCATATCCTTCTATGATAGTGGGGGTCCTCAGGAACTGCTCAGGGTTACCATGAATCAGTGAACATTCAGCCCCTGTGTCCACCAGAGCCAGGACACATTGTATGTTCACTCAGGACCAATGGATAGCTCTTCCAACATGTGGCCTCCGGTCCCACCCCCCGCCCCTTAGGGCCATTACCTCGACCATCCCCTCAGTCAAACCATGTTCCCCAGTCATCTTCATGTGTTGACTCATGTGAGGTTGGCTTGCTCTCCAGCAGGAAGTCTTGCAAACACAAAGGCGGACCTGTGGGTCTGTCTCTGACCTCTGCCTCTTTGGTCGTAATGGCTGTAACTGCTGCTCTGGTTTCAGTTGTTGCCATGAGTCTAGTAAGATCCTATTAGACTTTCTGTCTAATTTCCTTTCATATGCTCCTTACTGTATTTAATCAACCCACATCTGCATCCTTGTAACCTTCATGGGGCCCTTTAAATTCTTCTTGTGAGTAGCAGACCTTATTTCTTTCTGTGTTCTCATTGCTTCAGCCTCTCCTAAGTCTGTTACTGTACATGTCACCTCACGTATGGGCTACCTAAGTGAGGTGGAAGAATGGCCACCAGAGACCCAAAGAGGGATGTGGGAGCTGTTTGAAGCACAATATTTTTCATCCCAGTAGTGAAAATCTCTTCATCTGGGCCATAATTCTCTGGACTATAGGTGGCATTTCTTAGACCTAGCTCTTGGAACACCTGTTGGAGCTCAGCATGTGTCTGCCATCTAACAGGAGAGGATGGTAGATCACCCGGATTGGGTCACACAGCATGAAGTGCAGCCATAGGCAGTTTAGGAGGGGGTGATTCCCTGGGGTCTGATGTGCACTTTGTAACCGCTGCCTGAAGGTGGGCTGCACTGGCAAGGAAGACAGCTCTCCCATCTCTGATCCCAACAGAACAATTCCATCCACCCCTAAGTCCCACAGATGCAGGAGCCAAGGTGATATTGACTGTGAGGGCTTCTGCCTAAACTGGGAGCCCAAATCCACCAGCTCAGCCTGAGTATAGGGTTGGAGCATAGAGTGCTCGATGACCGGGGGAGGGGGCTGCTCCTCTCCTTGGGAAGCTCTCATTTTCTTTACAACCACTGGATGTGCTTTCAGTACAGGAGGGGACAGTGCCTCCGGCATCACCCCTTCATCCTTCCCCAGCTCCTCTATTTCTGGGGCTGATGACACCTTTCTCTCCCTTACTAGGAGAAAGAACTAGGAATGGTGTCCTCAAGGATCTTACAGAATGCTTTGCAGCTGGCATTCTCCTGCCACCTCCCCCTGTACTTCCCTCAGTAGTTTGTCTTTTTCCTTGACGGCCTTTTCCTCCTTCAGAGCACCTGGCAGCACTGTTGTCTTGTTCTGTAAGGAATCTTACCTTTTCAATGGTACCTTGTTGCCGGCATTATTGTACTGCCTCCTCTTGCCTCAATGTCATTTCCTTCTTCAGGGAATTCACAGAAGTTTTCAGCTCGTGTTCTCATGCTGCCATTTCTTGGGTCTTTTTCAGGAGCATGTCCTTCTCTTCTCTAGACCTTTTTAATATTGTGAGAAGCAGCCAACCCACAGTCCCCACTGCACTGTCTCACGGACACTCTCTCTCTCAAAAGGCCTACTTACTCTACCAAGGGCCATCCCTACTGCCTCAGGTGTCACCTCCACTTGCCTGTGGTTCTGGGGTGGGGCCCAGTCCTCCAGGAGGCAAGCCACCTCAGACCACATACCCATTGGGGGCAATCCACTGTCTACCCATTCACGGGGGCAGTTGCTGAAGCACCCCTCCCATAAGGGCAGCCTATCTTTTTCCTTTGTCAACAATGAACCCTGCTAACTTCACCAATTGTCTTGCCAATGGGTTTCAGCCCTGGGCAAGTTAGCTATGGATTCAGTGTGACCAAAGAAAATGACAACAAATGTTCTTCGGGGTGAAAGGGTTAATTACCCAGCTTGTTCTTCTGGCAGTAGGTCAAGCACTAACGTATCTGCCTCCTTCCAGAGCACTGGGCCAAGTTTTCTATATAGTGCAATAGTAGCTATATTGCCTATAAGCGGTAGCTTAACAACAGGTCAATTACATCATTCAGGTGGTTAAAGTTCAGTCAGGATCCTGGCCATAGGAACCCCAACTTGCCCACACCAATATTTGGAGCCAGAAAATGAGAGCTTGAGCCCCTGTCTTCATTATTTACTAAATCTTGAACTTGGCCAGTGGTTTAGTGACCCTTAGTTTACTCATCAAAATAAAACAGTACTTCAGGGTGTTTTTCTGAGATGCAAATAAGGTTATTTACTGAACATTTCTTGTACTTGATGACATGTGCTGAGTGGATAGCTATTCAAACTAGGAATGGTGTCCTCAAGGAGCTTACAGTAAGGGAGACAGATATGTACATGAATAATTAAAATCTGATTAGTGAAACCATAAAATGTCCTCAACGTTCAGTAGAACTGTACTAATGGGTGCCACTAACTCTGGATGTCAGAGATAGAGAGCTGAGATCCAAGGAATAAATAGGGATTTTCTGACATCAGAGCTGACAGTTTGGGTAACATGTAGCCGTTCATAGGCATCTGAAATGAGACTGGATACAAGGTACAAACAGCAGTGCTTGAAAAGAAACCTGGAGAGAGAGACTGGGCCAGGTGTTATGTATGAGTGCTTTTTCAATTGAAAGGAATCTAAAATTTTAATTATTTCTTTGGGATTTAAGCAGATGAACATACAAATAGCAAGTATGATGGCTTTGCCAGTTTATGCAATTATGTAGGAATATTCAGACTCGTAATATGTGTATGATAATCACTGATTTATAGGTACTTTTTTTTTAATGTGGGAGTATTTTAAAATTAGCTTTTATTTTTATTAAGCTTTTACATGTACTAGTTGAATCACCTAATCTGAAGGCTTCTTTTGAAAAACAGCTATCTCCTGAATTCTATTCCTTTCTCAAGACAACCAGTTTCACATTTTAAATAGCATGCTCTTATCACTGCTTCTTGATTTTTAGTTTTAGGAATGATCTTTTGAATTCTAGGCAAGATGAGAAATTAGCCGTCTGTCCACACCTGCCTATACTATGTAGCTCTCCTCAGCTATTGATAAGTTATAATTAACAGTTAGGTTGATATTTAGTGTTTATAGTATTAGGGCTATTTAAACTGTGACCGAGTAATATAGTGTACTGTGACTACATTCCTTTTTCTGTACATCTTGTGTTCTCTGGAATCAATAATTATCTTTTTTATTTCCTTGTTGGCTTAGTTACTTGAATTTATTCTTCTCGAATTCCCTTAATTGTGAAGATTGTTAGGTAGATTTTATGCTGTTTACATTTTATGTATGCTGTATTTAAAAAATTGCTAATACCTGTTTTAATTCTGTTAACGTTAATGTTCTGAATAGAGAGGAGATAGAACTAAATTTGACATTGTAAAGAATCATTTGTATTAAGTTGATCTGTAAGTAACAGAATATTTGATAAGAACTTGTAATATTTGAATTATACTTGTATTTTAGCTGAAATAAGTGATTATTTCTGTATTTTTATTACAAATGCCCCAAAAAGAATCGGAACTTTTGGGTACTACTGTGATCACCAGTGGATACTGTAGTGTATCCTCATCTTTATTGGGATCTGTGGCTATTGTACATATAATTCATTGAAAAGACTTGATGAACTTCATAAATGTTGGCCCTCTTTTACCAGATAGTTCAGTAAGTTCAGAAATGTTCTAAGCCACAGCTTTACTTTATATAAAAGTTTTTTAAAACTTTGAATTAAAGTAGCCAGTTTTAATTATTTTTTTCCAAGTTTACTTGACCAGGAGCCCCTTTTAATAGTATACCTACTATTGTTCACAGCACATTACTAACACCATTTTTCTGACTGCAAGTTGTGGGGAGTCTTCTGATACTTTTTTCTCTTTGTTCTTATAGTGACAAAAATGCTGAGCTTCTTCCGAAGAACACTTGGGCGTCGGTCAATGCGTAAACATGCAGAGAAGGAGCGACTCCGGGAAGCTCAGCGAGCTGCCATACACATTCCTGCATCTGGAGATGCTAAGTCCGTCATCACATGTCGGGTGTCCCTTCTGGATGGCACTGATGTTAGTGTGGACTTGCCGGTATGTAGGTCTTGCTATGACATTTTTCAGATTCTGAGATGAGTTTCTTCAGTTGATCTTTCTACTGAGAACTTCCTGTAGGAGTTAGGTAATGAATGTTAGTAATGATCAGGCACTGTTACGTACAGGTACGTGGGTCAGGTACGTGGGTCATGTACATTGGTACCTGAAATGATAGTATTTCTCCAAAATTAGTGGCAGTTACCTGCAACATGTAGGTGATAGGGCAGTTACTGGCACAAGTCATTTGCAAGATGTTTATTGTGTGTTCTTTATGATAGCAGTTATAGAGTGTGCTCTAGTGGATTTCTCATGGTCCATGTTGAACAATTATTAAAGCAATGAAAATCTTTGGAAGTGATAATGTGTACATGTACATTGTTAAGACTTTATTTCTCTATGCTTTTTGGTAATTGTAATTTTCAAAGCACTCCTCATTTTCCTCAAAGCAAATATTTCCTCAACAGTTTGATATACTTATATTGGTATACATTTTCTGCAAAGCAAGTATTTCACCAACAGTTTGCTATAATTGAAGTGAGAAAGAGAACTGTCTTCATACCCCTTGGTTCTGACTGCATATTTCTGTAGATTCCAGGGCAGGTTTTTCCTACACTGTAATCTTTATTTTAAGACAGGATGTTATAATTATATTCAAGTTTGGGATTTTTTTTTACAGTTACAATACATAATCATAACTCACAGTGTGAAAAAATCCAGTATTTGAAAGGGGTAACTTATTCTCTACACGCCTTCTTTTGAGGAGAGATGGAAGTAGCTATATAGTTTTGAGGGAGTTGCATTTCTTTCTGAGGTATTTATTAATAACAAATCTCTCCTGCATGTCTGTTCTGCATTAAAACATTTACATAACTAAGCTGTAAAATGTGTGATTTGATATAAGCATCATTGAGTGTTCCGTACTGCCTTCCCTCCTCACAAATGCTTTTTAGTACACATATTTTACCCAAAATACAATAAAACTATTTGTGTAAGATGATAGCCTTGATACTGCTACAATATAGATGAGTACTCTCTGGAAACTTTAAACTCACAGAGAGATTAAGGAATTGGATAGTTGGTTTAAATGAAGATACTGATTAATTGAATAGAATATACTAGTATGTATATATCTTACACATTTTTAAATAATGGCATGTGATAAAGTTAAAGATGCAGGATTTCTTGAAGTGATTTGAAGTCATCGTGAGTAATTATCTTTGTACATTAGACTGTACATTTTTAGGGATTTTGATTCTGGAGGACTTAAAGGCATTTACATTTTTTTCTTGTAAGGGCTTCTTGAGGGTTTGTTAGATTTTCTAAGATGTGATACTTTGTAAGGATATTTTCATATTCATTTCTTATTTGATAAGTATCTTAAGAATTTTGTGTACTGGTCCATTAAAATACCATTAGGTACTTGGTGAAAAGCTTGAGATTGCTATGTAAGAGACTGGAAGGAAGTTTCTTATTACCTAATATTTGAAGTATGAAGTCTCAAGTTTCTTGATGGAGAGGCTGATACTAGGAAAGTAGAGTTTGTAAAGGAGCTTTTTAAAGAGGCAGTGTATTGTGGAGGAGAAACAGCACTGTTTTAAAGTAATGGAACAAATGGCTAGTGACTGGTATAGAATGTTTTCCTATGCTTGTTATGCTCAGTAGAGTGTGTGCAATGCTTGATCAAGGCCAGAAATGCTAGCAAAACTCTCATGTAGACAGTTGCAGAGAAAAAAACTTAAAGAGTTTGAGGTTTGACTCTGTGGAACTAGAACAATTGCCCTTTCAGCTCTGCAGGTGAAATCCTAGAGTACGTGAACTAATTCTAGTTGCCTGCATGAATATTAAATGGGCACTGGTCTCCTAGCTAAACTTCCTTACTAAAGAAAAAAAATAGGCCAGAGGAATATTAATTTCTAAAAAGAAAAGGCTTTCCCTTATTCTGATTTAGCTTCTCAACAGTCTAGTATGATTTTGAAAGAAGATTTACAACTGATTCTGGAAATTGAATGAAGCATACTTATTTCCCAATTGGATTAGGGTCACTAGTAGCAAGCCAGCATTGAACTAAGATGAAGGTAGATAGTACGTAAGAGATTATTTGTGATTAAATAAAGTAATTTAAATCTGTGGACTTCGAATTAGTATATACTAGTAGTAATGATCATTTCCTTACTTCCCTTCCCTCTCAAAATTGGGGGAGAGATTTTAATGACTTGCATCTCAGTTTTTTCTTTTCTTTCTTTATTTTTTAAAATTTTGATATCGTTAATACACAATTACTTGAACATTATAGTTACTAGACTCCCCCCATTTTCACATCCCCCCCAACATATCCCTTTACAGTCACTGTCCATCAGCATAGTAAGATCCTATAGAATCATTACTTGTCTTCTTTATGTTATACTGCCTCCCATGTGACCCCCCCTACATTATGTGTGCTAATCGTAATGCCCCATTT